CACCTTTCTTGGCTGCTACCTCAAAGCACATCTTGCGTGCTGCACAACATTATTCAATATTTAGTATCTACTGTTTTTACTCTTAGCTAGATTATTGCGACGGTGTTGTGTTTATTACGTTGCTCTCTTTTTTGCTTGTTTTCTCACTCTCCCTCTTCCCCTCTGTTTTTCTTTCTCTCCCTCTCTTTCTTTCTTTCTTTCTCCCTTTCCTATCCCCCAGTCATGTCTGTCCCATCTGTAACAACTGAAAATAAAATAAAATAAATAAGTAATAATAACAAAGGTCAATCAAATAGACCAATATGGCAAGGCCGTGATGATCCACTTGGTAAAATAAATTACGTTGGGCATCTTTCTTGGCCTTCAGACAATAATTCTGATGGCTAAAGAACCAAATGGGACAGGCAAAAAAAAGAGAGAGCGAGAGAGAGATAAAAGCATAATTATGTAAGTTTTATATACTGTACTGGGGGATTTTAGAGATCAGCTGATTGTGGATATTTATGAGAATATCACACTGCATATACACCATGGTGCAGAAGTCTTGAGCCAACAGTTTACTGAAAAAAAGAAAATAGGAACACAGTGTATGGGGCAAAAACAGCAAGTGTACATTTCCAATGAGCTTGAAAGTAAATATTTGGTATGACCACTTTTATTCTTCAACTTTGAACTTTGAACTTAGGGCATTCAAAACTCTTCTTTGGATGTTGCTGCCTTTTGTTCCGTTCTCTGGTATCTTAACAGAGAATGGGGGGGGGGAAAGCCTGATAGCCTTGAGGCAATTGTTGGGATTTTGGTGCTATATAAATAAAACTATTGAATTTGATTAAACTGAATGATCATACACTGCTTCAATAATGTTGAGTCCAGGATGTGGGGAGGCCGGTGTATGCCTAATTATGTTTCATTGTGTGTTTTTCTATCTATCCATGTTTACTTTTACTGCATTAGCAGTGTTTTTGGGATCACTGTCAATCGGACGACTTTCAGATGGTATTATTGCGTGGTGTATCAACATCTGATGATACTTTTCTACATTCATAATACCATTTATTGACAAGAACCCCAACACCACTGATTTAAAAGCAGCCCCACATCATGATAGAGTCATGTATTATGGATGACTGTAGATACTCACTACTTCCTCTTTAATGGTTTCCTCTACACACACTGATTACAATTAGACCCAAAACTTTTCAATTTAGGCTCAAGACCTGTTACCACTTTCTCCCTGTTTCCCTCCCTTAAAGACACACTGCACAGCATGTTGAGATATGCAAAGTTTTCACCTTATAACTCTTTGGTAATCTTTTTTTTTATTTTTATTTTTTTTTGGTTCAAATTAGTATTTTATATTGTGCTGTTATGTCTGGCATTTTTCTTGCATAGTAAAAAACATGAATGTGTTACTGCGGTCACGATGAGTCGTCCAAATAGGTTTGGATGAATGTAGCAAAGCATTGTTATTAGGTGTGTGATGTTTACTTGATTCTTCTGCAGATCTTGAATGTGCAGACGGCAGAGCAGACAGGAGAACTGACGGATTAACACCAGCAATATCTTCTTACCTCTCCCAAGATATTTCTGCAGCGTTACTGTTCTGTCAAACACAAAGCCTCAGTAAAATATAAAGGTGCAAAGCGGACAGCACCAACGACACATAAACACTGACAGATATATGAGATTCATTGTTACGCTTTTTTAATAAGTGTGGAAGCATTAAAGGCTTTTATCAAACCCACTCTCCAGTTCTGGCATCGATGAGCGGCGTATCTGGTGAAATGCATTTTGATTGATGATCGACATTGTGTATTTTAGGACTCAGTTGTAACTCATCATCCAAACGCTGTAGAAAGGCATCCCACTGCACCTGCGGTACATTGGCTGCACTACGTAAAATGACCGTGGTGAGTATGCTTTTTAAAAATATTTTACATTTTGTATTAAAAGAACTCACTTCGAGCTCTTTAAAGTCCTGAAGAGCTTCTCTCAAAGCAGCACAGCTGGGAACATCATGCAGAATAGTTTTCAGGGGTCACGTCAGTTTATTAAGGCTGTGACTTACTGTACTATGTGAATCAGCGAGTGGATGCACAGCAATTGTGACAGCACAAGCTACAGCTGATTTGGCCTTTGTCATGTAATCTAGATGATAATAGTTATATATACCTCAATACATTAAAATTGAATTTTTGTGCTCTTACTTTGTATTTTTGCTCCAGAGATCCTCTGCATCCTTTTTTCGTTTAACAGACAGGCTGTGAAGCAGAAAAAATGGGCCTGAAATATAACACTTCATTACATATTTTAGCTAAAAATATTAAATATAATAAGGTTTAACAGAAGAGGCTGCTTAGTTAAACTGAAGGTGGGACTTTAGACCTGTTGTACAGAGTTGCACCGGCTTCAATCAGACCCAGCAGTGACTGTTTACGCTCTATGCGGATTTTCTGCCTGACGAATTCTTGGCACGAGCCTGTTTGACACAAAGTGCATGAAGTTAGCAGCTAACCATCTGTTTCAGCGGATTCTTTATGTATAATGATTAATAGGACTCATGCAGCCCCTACTCATGCTACGTCCATAAATTGTTTGACAACTGGTGTCTATTTTTATGTACACTTGTGGGACCTACCTTCTCTGCTTTCCTTCTCAGCGAGGTCCAGCAGAGCTTTTCCTT